CCTCGGTGAAATTGAGTTTGACACCCCTGCTCTAGAGTTTTGAGGGCCACATAAATAGCTATAGCGAGCCAGATTTGGCATGTGGGCCTTGGGTTTGATATATGTGCTCCAAGATATAGAGCTCTTGAGTTTGAAAAAGTTTCTTCTCCTTAAAGATTTCTTTTGTTTCTATTCAATTTTAACATTTCAGATCAAGTTGATTAACATCAGACAACAATAAATTGAGTAAATACAAAAAACTCCTAAACTACCTCCTTTCAGTCTTAGCAGGAAGAGAAGGAGTACCAAGAGGGAGCAGGACCACCTTGCCCTCTTCCATGGAAGCTGTTGCATTGTAATGTCTGTCGTACATACATCTAATAGCTATATTTCCAGTCAAAGGAGCAAGCCTTGACCCTGGCTTATTGATAATTCTGCAGAAAGAATCTCTGAATTACAGATTGCCCAAGATTGCCATTGTTGAATCAACGTTTGGTACCACTCCTCTGATAAAGAAGACTATGCTCGGTTCCACTTCAGAGCTGAAAAGAAAAAAAAAATTCAGCTTCACCAACACTGGAAAATAGTTCCAGCATTAGAAAAGATGCTAGAAAAGAGTGTCTTTGGACTCCGCTTTCACTGCACCCTGATGCTCGTTTTAGACCAGAGCTAAGAAGATTCCCCACATTCCAAGCAAGTGCTCTGTGAACAATCATACTGCTCCTGCTAACTCAGCAACAATTACTTTGTTTCCGGAACCAGAGAGCATCCCAGAGCTGAGAAGAAGATTCTGGTTCTCCACACCAGCCATTAATGTGAAAACTCCTTTTGTTCACACAACTATACTTTCTTTGCTTATTGGACATTTCTTGATTCTGAAGGATGACTCAAGAGGTTGTCTGGGCAATAATATATTTCATGGTGTTTTTGTGTTGTAGATGCTTAAAATGATCCCAAATGGAGAAAGCTCCGGGCTGTACAGTAACACAGTTGGTAGAACTGTTGCCTTGCAGCAAGAAGGTCCTGGGTTTGATTTCCAGTTTGGGGTCTTTCTGCATGGAGTTTGCATTTTCTCCTTGTGCATGTGTAGATTCTCTCCAGGTACTCCTGTTGGAAGGAAGGTGGAGTTCCTGTTGTACTCTCTAAATTATACTTAGGTGTATGAATGATTGTTTGTCATTCACACACCTACCTCAAGTAGGCTGGTGCCTACCTCCAGTTGTCAGTGGACTGCAGGAAGGCACCAGCACTAGGGAAAAGCATGGTTGATAATGAATGTAATGAATGGAGAAGGTTATCATTGATTCATACTATTTAAGCTCAGTAGTTTAATCACTGATAGTTTATTAACATGAGATTGTCTGTTTTATGGGTATATTGCTTCTAAGCATCCTAAAATGTCCCATTTTTATAAAGCTAGATCTTCCTAAACTAAAGGTAAAGCTAAAAACAGTTTAGCATTCCAGCATTCCCAACACATAGCTATTCCTGCTTACGCGGTCCACTGTGGCGAACTGAACAATTAATATAGTTTTTTGCTATGTTTTAGACTTCAGAGATTGTTGAAAATAGCAAAACATCAGTTTCTTTCTGTTCATTTGAGTCACCATCTTGTGAGGGGCAACATGGTCTAAAGCCACCATCTTAGTATTCCAAAATACTAATTTAGTTCTTTCCCTGCAGTGACTGATAAGTAAACTGATAATCAATTATCCAAAAAGGTTACTGATTTCTAATTTAGCAAATTGGTAATGTTTTTTCTTTAATTTCTGCTTTGCTTTGTGAACTGGTTCTTTGGACACATACTGTTCATTAACCCAAGCTCATTTTCATTAGTTAAGACCTATCATCCGTTCAGTGTGGCTGCAGTGCTGAGGAAGCAGGAGATGTTAATAGCGGCTAGTGTCCACTGTTGTTCCTCGCTCAGGACAGACAGGCTGCAGCCGAGCTGCATAAAAGTATCTAACAACACAGAATAATAGTCACTAAATGTATTACTAGTTATTATTTTGAACAAAAAAAAGAAGTCACTAAATATTTCTGAAAAATCGATGAACATAGCGACAAAATGAATAAGTTGGCAAGAGTCCTTCTTTTGTCCTGATCACACACCCCCACCCATCCCCCTGCTCATTCCCTCACTCAGCCGGGTCTCTTGGCTCTGCCACATTTGTAGAAATCTTTCAAAATTTGCCATGGGGGGTGTTTAGCTTTCAGATAGTTACACTTTAAAAAGTCATGGCATTCTTTCAAAAGAATGGCTGTTGATTTTTATCAGTTTCATGGTTTTATATTCATATCGATTGCTCCTATCTATAGATCAAAAATGTCCACTTGCTGTGAAAGTCATGTTCCTTTAAAATCCAACAAGCAAAAAACAAAAAAAGACTTATACTGATTGTTTCTTTACAAATTTATGTATTAAAAAAAAGAAATCTAATAAAATGGTCCTTTGGTTTCTGGAAATTAAAGAGTAGCACACAGGAGCAGCTTAAACACTCTCTCACTATCTGTCTATAGCTGGATCTCTATCTATCTAGGAAGATACACAGCCACACCGGCACACCTATTAGAAGGAAACAAACTCACCCAGTATAACACTTGCATGCTATTGGCTGATAGGTTGCCAGGCGACAGTAGTTTTCCGTTCCAAGCACAAGCAGAAAAGAATCTGCAAGCGAGCAGAGAGGTTTGCAAGCGGAGATTTGATCTGAGCAGAGACAAGTTTTAACCGCAGGGAGAAAGGTTTGAGAAAGCACAGTGAATATTTGAAAGAGAGCAGAAGTTTTGAGTACAAGCATTACAAGCTTTGAGAAAAAAGACAAGGCAAGAAGTCCTGCTTTCGAACTGAAAGCAGGACTTCTGCTTTCACTCTCGAATTATGGCAGAAAAATTCCCCCATAGCAACCCAATTTCAATTCAAGTTCAAAGCTAAATTTTGCTTCATCCCCAAATTCCACTTGAACAAACCTGGTTTCTCAACATTCACAGTTCATACTGAAGAGTCACAAGATTACATAGTTTTATTGGTTCTATTCTTTAAATATTTTTGCTGTTTTACATTTAGTAGTTTATTAGTTTTTATCAACTTTTCATATTTTTCTTAGTATTTTAATTTAGTGTTGGTAGCTTGGTGAATTTGTTGAAAATAACGGTAAGGTTGAATTTTGTACGTTAAACTCCATCACCACTAATATAATAAACTTAATATACATTATCACTCTCAGTAGAAACCATCTTAGTTCTACCGCAAAAGCTAACATCCACAGACGTACTTGTCTCCACTTTTGCGGGTGCAGCTAGTCAGCGGCAAGGAACATGAATGGCAACTTACAAGCTCAAGTAGCATTGAGCATAGGTATATTATAGAGAAACTGTTTGAGTTATTACCTTGTAATAACACAAATTCAGAAGGTCTTCCTGACCTTTTGAATTACCTTGTAATTTTTAAATAAATTATTAATTTGGTTAATTATTAATTATTATTAACAATTCTTAATAACTTATTTTGTTAATAATAAGTTATTTATAGTTAACAACCAAACAAACCTTAGAGTTCAAAAGTCAATTTTTACGACTGCATATACATACTTGGTGTTACCCAGTAAACAGCTCAACAGGAAACAGTGTTCATATCAAACTGTTTTGTATGCGACACCGAGCTGATAAGGCAGAGAGTGAGCACCATTTTGTGGATCAAATGGAGTAAAATTTTGAAGAGAGTCTGATGGAAGAGATTAGAAAATATAAAAACCAGCAGAAGGTCTACTATATCAAGCCTAATTAAACTTTGAAGCAAATTAAAACTAGTGTCAACTACCATAGGTATTCATTTTAACTATCCTTTCTTCAAGCATTTTAAAAACATTGGTAGATTTATTTCTGTAGAAAAGTATGTCTCTTACTGCTCTGCAGAAGGTCAGCCAGGTCATCCAGATTCATCATTCTCAAGAAGTCAACAGTGATCTTTAAGAACGCCTCTCTTCTGCTGCTGCTCCTCTGCTTCTCATCCTTGTTTTCAGACACACCCTCCTTCTCTTCCTGAGCTTCTGAACAATCAGGGTAATCTGAACTCAAGACCTGTTGGATCTCCTTCAGCTCATCCTTCACAAATGTCACAATCTTTTTCTCCAGCTCCTGAAACAGAAAGAGACATGAACAACCCCTGTGAAAAAAATCTGACAGGCAATCAAGTGATCTACAAATTGCATCATAGCGATTAATTAAGAGAAGATATGAAAAAAAGTACTTATGCTTTTATACAGACCATAAATATGGAGCCCAGCTGCATTGGATGCTCATGGGGAGGTTGACCAACGTCTGAGCTCCACTTGAATCTATGGAGAAATCACTAAGAATTAGCTTTCATCATGCCAAACCAAGTAGAACGAGATATATGGCTATTAGCTCTCAATAAGACTATTGTTGTGTAGCCCAGCACTTTTGGCAACGTGGTTTTGCATTTCGACCAGTTTGAAAAATGCAGCTTAGAATCTGAGATACCCAGGCTCAATGCCACTTGGCTTCCTACTGGCTGAATTTGTAAGTTGCCATTCATGTTCCTTGTTGCTGACTGGCTGCTGCACCCACAAAAGTGGAGACAAGGACGTCTATGAATGTTAGCTTTTGTGGTAGAACTAAGATGGTTTCTACTGAGAGTGATAATGTATATTAACCTCATTATATTAGTGGTGATGGATTAGAAAAAAGTTGGTTTGACAGAGGAATGCAGCTGTATCATATTCAACCTCTAAGAACAAATAAAAGCAGTTATTTTGGAATGAAAAACTTTCAGTGGGACTCACATTACATAAGAAATGTCCATTAAACTCACCTCTTTGTAGCTAAAGGTTGGTCAAGGTTAAAATCAATAACATCCTGTTTTGAGAAGCTGCTCTTGATGGACAGACAGGTTGGTCCAGATTCTTGTTTCTGTCGTTTCCTGTGGATGTGAATGTCAGTGCCTGTCAAACATCTACCTCATTTACTGACAGAAACCAAGTCCTAGTATTAATGAACATACAGAGTCTATGATGTGACTGTGGAAGCTTGATTGAGACCGATTCACTCAGACCCAGTGCTGTTATTGAAGCTAAGTGCATCTACAACATACTGAGTTGAAGGGTTTGACAATGTATCCCTTTATTTACTCATTTATTTTAGATTAAATATTTTATTTAATGCATTTTAATTTCTTGGCCAAAAAGGCACATTTTATTGATCATGATTGATTTTTAAAAGCAATAGAAAGGATAAAACATCCAACGGGGTGAAAAAATTTAATAGGCACTGTAACTTTAACACAATATCCCTGAGGGCTATAATTATTAATACAAATGCATACAATTAGATTATGGGATTGTCATCTCACCTCTGACCCTCTTCTTCCTTGCATAGAGTGCTTTCAGAGAAAGGAACTTCCTCTTCAGATGCCTCCATGATGCCAAATTCAGATCTTCAGCTTAGACACACATTCAACCCTGATCTGCAGAAAAACACTCATCACTGAACTGCATTTTGATTCTAATCAGTCTCTAAGAGATCACACCTTAGTCAGCATAGACTCTGAACATAGAGCCTCAGCGAATCCTAATAATGTTCGAAGATTATGAATAAATTAATGAAACAAGATACTAAGTAATGACACTACATAATATTACTCAAGAAAACATAAAAAGTATGATGTAGAAAAATAGCTCCTAAAAGTATTTTTTCCCAAAAAGTTAAGTTGTCCTGAGGACAACAGGAGGGTTAAGTAAATGCAACTAACCCATCTCTGGTATGTTCAATCCTTAAAAAAGTGTTTAAAGACCTCTAGTTAAACATAATTGTAAACACAGCCAGCAAAAGTTAAGTTAGAAAACAATTATTTAAAAACATTTCAAATGAAAACTTGATCACTTCTTTGTAGAAGTCATTGTTTTGCTCAATCAACCATTTTCTTTCATTTTCACAACAGCAGTAGTTGTGTCTTTATTAAGCAGGAATGTGTGATGGAAACGTTCATAACAATGGAACATAAGTTATTTTAATATTTTAAAAACCATGAAGAATACACGTTTAGTAAGGGTCTCTATCTCCATCGACCATAAGTGAATAAATGTGTTAAATAGCAAAAGCTCTCAACAGCTCTTATCTTTAGTGACATATTAATATTCAAAGGCCAAATGTTAAAATATGTCTCATCTTCATCTCCTCTGCAAACAGAAACCTGCCTTCCATGGCTCAGTGACATAACACCCAATTTTTTTGTCCAGCTTTACTTTTTACAGTTAAAAAAAGGTTTAAATTCATAAGAAGACACCACAGATATGTAATATATCTCCCACATAAACACTTTATTGAACCTTTCAAAAGCTGTTCTTTTTTGGCCATTTTTGGGATCTTTGAAGGGTCAAAATGTCATGCGGGTGCGACTGTCCAAACTCAATTAGTGTTTCAAAAATGTCTTTAAAATTACATTAAATCTGTTCAAATATATTTTATTTCCTGTTTGGCATGATTTTCAAAGTCTTTTCTTCATCCTGTACACATTTTCAAAGCATTTTAGTTATAATTCCATTATAACATTTAAACAAACTTTGTCCGAAAATGTCATTTAACAAAATATCATGTGGTGCGACCAACAACAGCGTTTTCACAGGTCTAATAAATCAATCAAACAGCTGCAGCTGATCCAGATGCTGCTGCTCGCGTTCTAACTAAAACCAGGAAGATGAAGCACATAACACCAGTTTTAAAGTCCCTACACTGGCTCCCTGTAGCTCAGAGGATAGACTTTAAAATACTGTTGTTAGTTTATAAATCACTGAACGGTTTAGCACCACAATACCTTAAAGATCTGTTATTGCTGTACCAACCGTCTAGACCCCTCAGATCTTCTGGTTCTGGTCTGCTCTGCATCCCCAGAACCAGAACCAAACGAGGAGAAGCAGCATTCAGTTTCTATGCACCACGGATTTGGAACAAACTTCCAGAAAACTGTAAAACAGCTGAAACACTGGGTGCCTTTAAATCTCAACTAAAACCCACCTGTTTAGAGTTGCTTATGGCGAAATTGCGGGTTTTGATGTCTTCGATGTTTTTAATGTTTTTATCTTTACTTTTCATCTAGTTATTAACTTATTTTCATTTCTCTTTCACACTGTCTATGTAAAGCCCCCCTGAAAACCTTCCAGTTCAACGAATCTATATCTAGGGGTGTGAGAATCCTTGTTAAATGACGTTTATCTAAAGTCCTACAGGGTTTAGAGTCCCAGTTGGCGGCGTTTCAACTAAAAACCTAGATGTTGGAGTCCTTGTCAAACGGTGTTTTTGACTAAAGTCCCAGAGGGTTTGAGTCCCAGTTAAACAACAGTTAATTGAAGTCCTAACAGGGGTGTTGGTTTTAATGTTTTTATCTTTTTTAATATTTTTTCAAAATCTCTTTCTCTTTCTCACTGTTTATTCAATGTCACATGCTGTTTTTATTTTAATTATGTAAAGCACTTTGAAATGCCTTGCTGCTGAAATGTGCTACACAAATAAAATTTGATTGATTGATTGAACAAGAAATTCCCATTTTTGGACTTATATTTTTAAATCCAGTCAAAAACAGGGGTTTGCATCATCCAACAGTCTGTCAAAAATCCCTGGCGACAGCAAACAGGTTTGTTAGTCTTTCTCAAACTTAAAAAAAAAAAGTGTCTCTTTTAGCAGTAGGTATGTAGTTGCCATATTTGGGTGTCAAGTGGTATGACCTAAAAAAACTAATATTGAAATATTTCTATAATTTTCTATTTTGATTATACATTTCATATTTGCACTGTGTGGGAAACTAGGTTGTCTTTTAAGGAGGCAAATTATTTGCCTGTTAATAATGACGGAACATGAAAGTATCATGTGGTGCGACTAAGTATCATGTGGTGTGACCGTTGTTATGATACATTTAGTTTCTGTGCTTTTATTTTTGATTTCAAGACTCCAATGCAAAAACAATACTTTGTATTATTATTTCCAGAATAGGTTTTGGTGCAGTTTTAGTATTTTCTTAACAATATCATGATAAAAATACAATAGAACATGTAACATTATGGGAATAGTTATAGCATGTATTTTGTCATTTATTGTTTTGATCTATTTTACTAGATCCCACTGTCATCAAACTATGAGCAGTGGTGGAGAAAGTACTCAAAAAATGTACTTAAGTAAAAGTACAAATACACAGACGTAAGTAAAAGTAAAAGTACCACATTAGCATTTTACTTAAGTAAAAGTAAAAAAGTACTGGCTTTTAAAAATACTTAAGTATTAAAAGTAAAAGTACTTGCTGAATGCATTACCTAATCGCTAATATCATTAAGATTGTATTTAATCAATCGTATTTAATTTTAATACATCAGAAATGTGCCATTTTAATGAACAATGTCACAGATAAAGCATGTTTTATTTGTGTTTACTCTGTAACATAGTTTAGA